ATCTAGCGTCTCTATATCGCGAAATTCTGGAGCGTAATCAGGGAGATTTTGCGAAAATTATAAACGAATCTTTTGTTAAAACATTTTTCGCGCGCGACCCAGATATTACGCTCGGTAAAAATTTGATTTATTCATAATACGGTTTATCCGTGAACTTTCGGCGAATTAATTCGACCCGACGTAATTAGAAATGTGTAAACTGTCGTAAAGTTCACTTTTATGTCTCGCTAAAAAAATGTGGACTTTGCTCGACTCGATGTAAAAAATAAATAATTAAACGCGCGATGACAGACTTTGGTTGACTGTCTTTTTTTTTATCCGGGAGAGGACAAAGGATAACAGGCAATTATATTGTAACAATGAGCCGGCGAAAAAGTTGGATACCGTTTCGAGAGTTGCGATCAAACGAATGGAAGCCGTTTTGCCGACGTGATTTTCATGCGACGAGAATAACGAGCAATTATTCAGCGCGCGCGTCATTGTCGCGATTTCGTAATGCGGATTTTTTTTTTTATGTTAAAAATACATACAAACATAAGACGTATCTTTGTAGTAAATATTTTGTTAACTATGAAAAATTTGGCGGAGACATGTAATATGTTGCTTCATACGTTTAAAATAAAGTCACGTTATTTTAGTAAGCAAGATAAAATTCCAGATTTGCATATAATAGCAGAAATAATATTTTAAGGTATCAAGAACAACAATATTATGCACATACTATATTAAACAAAATATTTTAGGAGCGGAAGACAGTTCGCGAGATACGCGTAAGAGATAATGTATAAATTACGTAAATACATATGAATATTAAAAGTTTGAATACATCAGAAATAAATGGAACTATGTAATTTATTTAGTACGTTTTTCTCTTTTATTTTTTTATTTTTCCTTTTTTTATTGAGGAGAAAGTTAATAATTTTATCAAAATTGTCATTTAAATTCAAAATCCATTTATTCTTTTAATCTAATTACTGTTTAATTAACTTTCATTTCGGTCGCTATTCGATTGTTTAATTTCCATTTCTATCGCGATTTATTTGATTGAGTTCTATTAGTTGTTTTTATTAATTATTATACTTTTAATGAAATCGTTTGTTCATTTATTACCGATAATGAATTGTTAATTAATTCGTCAAATGTTTCAAACTGCGGAAGAGAAGCCAGCAATTATTTAACAAATATGGGGTAGACAAATATTCATCGAAATAAAATTGACGTTAATTACGCGAACTGACCGTGTTTCAGGCTATTATGGACAGTCAGTGATCCCTGAACATTTTCAGAATGCGTGCTCCATATTGGAACTGGGGGTTTAATTTAAACCGAGTATAATTCGCAATCCGATAACAGCGCGCGCATACGAACACAATAATATTAAACGCTCATTTTTGCAAATCGTCCACTCTGCGAATTATGACCGAGCGATTCACTTTTCGGAGGGTCTCGGCTAAATCCTTTTTTTATTAGTCAAATCTATCGACAGAAATTTTTACTCGCTCATTTTAAGTTGAAAATGAACGTGACTCTATATACATAGTGGAAAAATTATGAAAACAACGGAAAAAAATGTAAAAATAACACAATGTGCAGCTATTTTTAATTTTACACAATAAATATATTCTGCTTTATTAGTGGCAAGATTTTCTATTTTATAATATAAGTGGGGATGATAAAATCTAAAATTAACATATTTTTTGTTAATTTTTATATTAAAACTCTGTGTTAATTTTACACAAAATTTATTTAAAATTATTTGAAGTTTTGCATTTATTTTGTGTTGAAATATACAATATTTGTATCTCTATTTAACATATCCATATTAACACAAAAATTTCTGTGGACCGTTTGAGACATGCATGTAATACATGTTAAATTTAACAGAAATGTTTCAACTGCGTGGAAAAATTATTTGAAAGCTTGAAATTAGCGTGACATCTCTTTGCAACTTTCTCTCATCTATCTCTCTCTCTATAATTTCGAGTCTGATATTACAAAATTTTCGTATTCTGATTCATCCTCTCAAAATTCAAGGACTTTCTTCTATATTTCATATACACTGACGTTTCTCTCCATTTCACGAGTCCTCAAGTTTCCTCGTGTCCTCGGATGTTCGAATGTTTCGGTGTCTTTATTAGTCTTCTTCGAAAGTTTGCTACGTAAGCGGAATCTTCGTTAGAATCCGAACCAGTTCGGAATTATCCTGGCAAGAAAAGACGGTTCGTGGATGAGCGGATAAGGGAGGATGGCTCTCTTTATTAAAAATTCTTATTCAAAGTACTCTGGTAACAGAAGCTCGTAAAAGAAGTCCGATGCAAGAAGATCTTTAATAAAGGAATTCTTAATCGCGGCGGCAAAATTGCTGATCGTCTCTTTAGTAGTTGCTTTATATAGAGAGACAATTGGTCCGATTTATTACACATTTTTTATTTATAATGTCGCGACAATGAAAAAGTCGCGAGAGTATCGCCTAAAAGTTTGATCAGATTTTATAAAGATTTTCTCCTTCATTAAAGATGATCGTAAATCTGTCGCTCCTTTATTTATTCAGATTTTGTATTAAATAAATTATCGTAGATAAAATATGAGATTTTTGAAAATTTTGTGAAAAGATATATTGCGAATATTCCATTCTGTCAATTTTCATCGCCATTAAATATTTATCGTCAGCTTTTATTTTTATATTTATCATAATATCTCCAAAATTTAGTATATTTAAGATTTATTATCTGAGATTTAATGTGTCGGATCAGTTTGATGATAGATAAAATCATACGAATAATTGATCGAATAAAATAATCTCGTTTGTATAAAGTTCCTCGAAGACTTGGGAAATGAAAGATCCTTCTCGCACTGCTAGATTTGGAAAAGGCAGGGATAAAAAGTTTCAAGATTCCGAGCAGCCTCAGTTTGCCAGGATCCATACGCGGATGTCTCTTTGATCCGCCAGCAAAATGAAAGTGAATTTGCGTAGTGCACTAGAAACTGAATTACGTGGAGAGGTTTTCTTTCCCTTTCGTGAAAGGGCCGTCGATTATTTGATCCTTGCCTGTAATACAAAAGAAGGCTTACTCGTGTAAGAGGATCCTTCAACACGGAGGAATTAAAAATACAATCCTCGCGACAAATTTCGGGCAAAAATTTTTAAAAAATTACTTTGCAAATTTATGAAATTTTATGAATTTATTTTATGAAATTATTATACTGCTGTTGTTTATTATTTATATATATTATTACATAACGTTGTAATTAGAGCTCATTATAAATATATATTAAATTAGTTCTTTTATGGATAGTTCGATCCCGTACTTTTGTTCATTTGTGTTCATTAGGAAATTTTACACCGATAAATCGTCGAAAACTGAGAAGGGAAAAGAAATTATAATATCGAGCCTGTGTAATTCTTCCTCGTTAAGGGGATGCTGTCATTGTTCTGTTTTACCGACCTTAAGTTAGGTTAGGTTTACTTTTTATTATCGAATATACAGATTGAAAAATCCTCTTATTCTTTCATGTCATCTCAATTGGGAGCGCCATATTTTATGCACAAATAAACTGCAGAACTTTTGTATTAAATAAGTATTGTTATGAGCTGATGCAACAGGCCGATAAAAAAAACTGTAATTTTTTAACTTTTATTGTTTTTTTTTAATACGAAATTATAGCGCTCCCCGTTCATTATGATCAGTACTAGAGGAATTAAAAATACAATTCTCGCGACAAATTTCGGGCAAAATTTTTAAAAAATTGCTTTGCAAATTTATGAAATTTTATGAAATTATTGTATATTATTTATACATATTATTACATAACGTTGTAATTAGAGCTCATTATAAATATATATTAAATTAAGAGCGTCGCTCTCGCGTAATAAATATTTTTTATCGGGATTGCTATTAACGATACGACTGCGGCATCATAATATAGAAAGATACGGCGCAGCAACAACGATAAATTAACCAAGTGATTGTGGCGGCGAAGTATATAGCACGGACGATTTATTTTCGCGAACGGTTCAATGCTCCTGATTCTTCCCTTACTTCGAGTGTTTGTCGAGGAGCGCTCGTTCCCTCGACTTTTATCTTTACGGCGGAACGAATGCTCTCAAGAACAACCATCGATATTCTCGTCCCGGAAATATCGGGCTTGTTCTTAAGTGCGACGTGTTTCACGACGATCGGTCGCGATAATTTATCGTTTTCCATGAAAAATAACCCGTTCTTCTTTTATATCGCTTTTCGCAATCTCTATAAGTGCACTTTCTCTCTCGTTACTGTGGACAAAATTTTCGGAGAAATTTTATAGTAAAATGGAAGACCACACGGAGAAAAGTTTCTCTTAGAATTTACCCTGAAAATCATGGACAATGTGGAAGAATTTTAGAAGAATTTCTCTGATTAATATTTATCACAATAAAGAATATTTACACGTATACATAGTAAAATTCATCGAATATATTATATATTTTATTGTGGTAGATATTATTATTTTTTAATAATATAATTATATGATATTTAAGTCGGCCAATAGAGCCCAAGCGCGAAAATTAATTTTTCGGAACTGTATCTCTAAAAATTAATTTTTATATCATAATTATATTATTATTAATACTTAGAGCCGATAAAAATATTTCTTATTTGATTACTATTTTTATTGTGGTAAATATTAATCAGAGAAATTCCTATAAAATTCTTCCAATACCATATTGTCCATGATTACCATGATTTTCAGGATATAGATTCTAAGAGAAAATTCTCTCTGTGTAATATTTCTCATAACCACGAAAAAAATGTAACTGCCTCACACGTGAGAAGAAATACTTTAATATCGGAAGAATAATAATAAGAAGATCAAATCTTGTGTTTGAGGACGCTTTCTCGAGGAGATACGTGTATCTTTTTTTTTCTTTCGATGTTGGATGTTATTTTTTAATATTTCTCTGGAAAAAGAGAGAGCTCGCTTATTTGTAATTCATTCGAGGCACTTTTTTTCTGTCGCAGGTACAAGGATAATAGAGCGTATCCTTGGCCGGGCGGAGAGAGCCACTTTATCCTGTATCCCGAGAGCGCGAATCAAACGATCTACACGCAAGAGATGAGAGCCTCGGATGCGGGACGATACTCCTGTCAAGCACGTAACGACACAACCACTTTGGAAGGCGATATCACTCTCGCCGTACTCGGTAAGTAGGATATTCTGCTGGATTCAGCTTTATATTAAAAGCTCGAAAGGCGTCTCGTCGCGTCTTCATTCGATCTTTAATAACGGGATGCAACAGCGATCGATATAAGAGGTGGATCATTTTAAAAACTTTTTCAGAAGTATTATATAAAATACACTCAACATTTTTTTCGATTTTTAACTATTATTAATTTATACAGAGAAATTTTCTCTTGGAATGATTCATATTTTTTCTGATTATTTTTTTTACCACAATAAATAATATTAATATCTAGCACAATGAGATATAAAATATGTTCGATTAATTTTACTATGTATATATAAATATTTTTTATTAAGTACATATTAATACACGATTTTCAGGGTAAATTCTAAGAATTAATATGAAATTTCAAGAAAATTTAATAGCAATTATTAAAAAATTTTCTTGTAATTTATAATACAAAAATAAAATACACTCAACATTTTTTTCGATTTTTAACTATTACTAATTTATACAGAGAAATTTTCTCTCGGAATGATTAATATTTTTTCTGATTATTTTTTTACCACAATAAATAATATTAATATCTAGCACAATGAGATACAAAATATGTTCGATTAATTTTACTATGTATATATTAATATTTTTTATTAATTACATATTAATACACGATTTTCAGGGTAAATTCTAAGAATTAATATGAAATTTCAAGAAAATTTAATAGCAATTATTAAAAAATTTTCTTGTAATTTATAATACAAAAATCTGTATCGAGAAATGTTACTTACTTTAAGAATTTTATAGAATAAAGACGAGGCAACAATTAAATCTAATCGTGTCAAACATTCGCGATAACGAAAAAAAAAGAAAAAAAAAATACATCGATCGAAAAAGCTGTCCGATTCAATCCGGTTGCTATCGCTGCGAGAGAAATAAAAAAAAAAATATCTCGAATGATTTCGCGAAAGAGATTCGCCTTTGAAGCTTTCCATTCAAAATAAAAGCGAGGACACGGGAGAGGGGACAAATGTTCGATCAGGGGAGACGAGCTGTCACAAAAAACGTTGCAAAACGTCAATCGCTGACGCTGACAAAACGGTACTTGCTTTCGATCGCCACCGTCAAAGAGAGCCTCGTCATGATACTGTCAAGTGCCGAGATTCTGTATAGAATTCTGGATAAAAGATTCCTCGACGATCTTCTCTTTCTGCATTTTTTTTTAGCTTACGCAATTTTTTTTTCTTAACTTAGATAATATTTCATCAAATTTGTTTTCGTCGATATTATATATAAATTTGGATAAAAATGTGCATTCAGAAATATACACACACATATATATATATATATAGATATATTTAATCATATTTTAAATGCGTGTGATGTTGTTTAACCTCGCTTTTATTTCATAATTTTTTATTATTTAATATTTACACAGACACATATTTGTGTTAAATAAAATACGCGAATGAAAAATAAATATAAAAATTATATATTAAATATAAAAATACATGAATAATTTTGCTTGCGCCGCGAAAACACAGCGAGCTTAATATCCATCAAGATATGAATTCTCGAAAATGCACATGCAGTTATCTCACTCGCGTTTCGAGCGAAAAATTCTGCTTATTCGGGTGAACAGATAACTTCTTCTCGAAAGTCGTCGCGAACACGTTCACCCGGACCCGAGATAACAGAGACCAGGATTATATCGAATGTTCCGCAAAACGTTATCGATCCGGAATTTCAATTAAAGCCTGCCGCTGTCGGATCTGATCGGTTACGGACAGTCGGTCGCTTTTCCGACGCGAGCTTTTGGTCCCAGCGGAAAACCGGATAAAAGTGTTGTGCGCGATCCACCCCGATTTTTATGATGCTGTACTAGTGTTTCCTCCGACCGGAGACACGGATCATATTCCACCGTTATCAAATTTTTCCACTTTAATAGAAAAATCGGAAAAGAGAGAAACACATTTAATCCTCTATATTTAGCGAAACGATCATTAATTCACATGGAAAGAATTTTCTCTTAGAATTTACCCTGAAAATCACCCTGGTAATCGTGGGACAATATATTTGATGAATTTTGTAATTATATATTCTCTCATTAATATTTTTATCACAATAAAAATATTGTAAATTTTAAGAGAAAAATCTCTGAGTGGAACAATAAAAAATATTAATATGTACATAATAAAATTAATCGAACATATGGACATTAATATTTTTATTGTGATAAAAATATTAATGTCCATATGTTCGATTAATTTTATTATGTACATATTAATATTTTTTATTGTTCCACGCAGAGAGATTTTTCTCTTAAAATTTACAATAAAAAATATTAATATGTACATAGTAAAATTAATCGAGTATATTTTATATCTTATTATGATAGATATTAATATTTTTATTGTGGTAAATATTAATTAGAAAAATTCTTATAAAATTCTTCCATCACCATATTATACCACCACGATTACGATGATTTTCAGGGTAAATTCTAAGAGAAAATTCTCTCCGTGCACGATTACCAAAATAAAGAATTTTCAAAATAAGTTCTAAGAGAAAATTTTCTCCTCGATACATTTCTAAATTTCTTTAGCTTCCGATAATGTTGCGTATTTTTTTAAACAGCCATATAAAAAAAATAAATTATTCAAGAGAGAAATAATATAAAATCTTTATAAAATAAAAAATGGAAAGATTAAATTTTCTCGAGTAACATCGCGGATTTGCAAAACAAATTCGAAGAGAAAATTTTCTTCTCAATACATTTTTAAATTTCTTTAGCTCCGCTAATGTTAATTGCGTATTTTTAAAATAACCGTACAAATATGATACAAAAAAATAAATTATCCAAGAGAGAAATAATATAAAATCTTTATAAAATAAAAAATGGAAAGATTAAATTTTCTCGAGTAACATCGCGGATTTGCAAAATAAATTCTAAGAGAAAATTTTCTTCTCAATACATTTCTAAATTTCTCTAGCTCCGCTAATGTTAATTGCGTATTTTTTAAATAACCGTACAAATATGATACAAAAAAATAAATTATCCAAGAGAGAAATAATATAAAATCTTTATAAAATAAAAAATGGAAAGATTAAATTTTCTCGAGTAACATCGCGGATTTGCAAAACAAATTCGAAGAGAAAATTTTCTTCTCAATACATTTTAAATTTCTTTAGCTCCGCTAATGTTAATTGCGTATTTTTAAAATAACCGTACAAATATGATACAAAAAAATAAATTATCCAAGAGAGAAATAATATAAAATCTTTATAAAATAAAAAATGGAAAGATTAAATTTTCTCGAGTAACATCGCGGATTTGCAAAATAAATTCTAAGAGAAAATTTTCTTCTCAATACATTTCTAAATTTCTCTAGCTCCGCTAATGTTAATTGCGTATTTTTAAAATAACCGTACAAATATGATAAAAAAAAAATAAATTATCCAAGAGATAAATAATATAAAATTTTTATAAAATAAAGAAATGGGAAGATTAAATTTTCTCGAGCAACATCACGGAGGGAGAATCGTTCGTGGTGGCATCAGGTTGGGATTCAGTCGGATTGCGACGCTTTTTGGAAAATTCGCCGGGACGTCTTTTCGGACGATGAGAGCGAGTTAATATTCATCGGTGGAGCGACCGCGCTTCCGGCCGTCTACGGCTCCCTAAACCCCTCGATTTAGCGCGCATTCGTGCCGCGCGCTCTCTCTCTGTCACTCGCTCTCGCGCTCTTCTTCGTTCCGTCTGTCGATATAACCGACTTCCAGTTCGCCCGGCAATTTGCCGGAAGTCGTTCGAGGGAATTCCGAGCCGACGACGTTTAACCCCCTTTCCGCACGCGTTAAACGTTCCTTCGCCGCGGATATCCTTTATCGATCTTGCTCTATCTGCCCGCCAAAACGCTTTTCGGTCATCTATCCATCCGCTTGAATTGAAATTAATTTCATGAAAATTCGGAGATCTTAATAGTTGAAAAAACATTTTTTATGTACAGTGTAATTTATATATTCATAAATATAGGTATATATTGTGTATCATGAAAAATCGAAATTTACCCAAAAAATTGAATATTAAAATATTCGCGATTCCATCGACATTTATATTATATTTAATGCAATTTAATTGTATTAAATTGTCAAGAGATTGGTTTTTTGATATCCATATTATATCGATCGTATTTTGGTATATATTTTCTCGAAAATAGACGGATATATAAAATTGTAATGCATGCAAAGCGAACTGAATAATCGAGAGTGCGTGGACACTTGTTTCCCTGGCGGATTCCCGGAAGGCGAATTAATGAATAAATTCCTTACACGACCGAGAAAGTATAATCGGCGCTCGTCTGCTTCGCGGAAAATTGCGAGAACGGTAAAATTGATACGATCCAATCCTCCTTCCATCTTTCTCTCTCTCTCTCTCGCTCTCCTTTCTACACATTATGCGAGGTGCGTAGGTAGAAGGTTCCGCGAACTGCCAATCGAATCTCCTTCGTAGAAAGTGCACTCGCCGCGGGATGCATCACTCCGGTGCATCGCTGCTGCTGGTGATGCGCCACATGTGCGTTGCACTTTGACTTTCAAGAGAACGCCGCGAATTATCATCCTCAGAGACGCCGCAAAGCGAAAGATCGTGTATAATCCGTCATCTTTGCATCTTTAAAATACCGAGAACTCGATAGCTCTCTGCCTTTTAAAATATCTTGGCAAAAATATTTTTCGATTTTTTGATAAAAGAAAATTATTTTGTATTTATAATATTAATTTATACACAGAGAATTTCTTCTTGGAATTTATCCGGAAAATTATGGCAATATAGAACAATATTGAAAGAATTTTAGAGTTTCTTTGATTAATATACTTACCACAATAGAAAATATTAATATGTACATAGTAAAATTAATCGAATATATTTTTTATCTTATTGTGGTCTATAGGATCGATATATATGTATAATTATTTCGAAATTTGTTTCATCCAAAAATATTTTACCAAGGTATTCTTTT